ATATATATGCATTCCATATTTTAAGCCAATGTAGGCAGCTTTTTTGAATGTAATATAAAACAGCACAATACATAGAATACACCCATCTGTATCACATACAGTAGAATCAGTAGAATTTCTTTTCCCAACAAATCAATTGTTTGGTTATAAATAAATGAAATGAGAATCTTTACTGAAAATGGTTAAATAGCCTAAATTAGAGATCCGCCTCTCACAGTTGCCTATAAATTACCTATTGCAATGCAAGTATAAAAAAGCATAAATAAAATATGAGTACTTACACCAAACATTTGTCTAAGATCTGGATCCCGGAATCGGAACGGTATATTTGAGACATGAAGCCGTTTTGGCTGTGATTTGTTTTCTGTGTTTTCAGAAGATTGTGTCTGTTGCTGGCCATCAGTCTGTGCTGCATCATCTGTCTGCTAAAGGGTAAAGCAAAATAGAGCAGGCTATAAGTATTTCTGCCATTTTTAATATAAAGTGGGGGGCTTAAATTCTAAAAAAAAACCAAACCCAACAACCAAAAAAAACCCCCAAACCAAAAAACAACCCACCCCAACCCTAAAAAGAAATACTTAAGCAGGATTTACTGCTCAAAGGTACTGAAGAATAGCAGAAGTTGAAATATATGAAAATTAAATCCATTTCTGTATCTGTCTCAACTGTATAAGTTTTCAATGATAATTTTAACATGTATTTGGAATAAACTGGACAATAGGAAGGAGATTATTATTTGTTGATTTTCTTAGCTATTTTTAAATAATGAATGCATATCTCCCTACATTATAAGACTGTTGAAACCCCTTTAACCTCATCAGTGTTTGCCAATGGAAGAGACCAAATCTCCATGTCCAAATAACAGGAGCAAGCTCTACACTTTCAAATAAGATTAGTACACATTCATTCAGAGGCCACTGGGACTTCTACACAGGAGGTAGGTAACACATCACATCCTAGTTGCCATTTCATAAGCAGTACTAATGGGCACTAGAGGGTCATTCTGTCCAGATAAATAGTCACCATTGTGGAAAAGGCCTTGCGTTGTGAAAGGGAACACAAGTATAATCAGTGGTGAAGGTTGCCTGGCATAGAAGTGAGACCCGGAAACAAAGTTTTACAGGATTTTCTTTCTCACCAAAATAAGATCATATCATGGTACTTCTTGCAGGGATACTATTCCCTAGTTTTAAAATGCTATTTTTTAATTTAAGGACATTGCTGTGTATTATAACTTCACAAACAGAATTATAAACCCCTAGAGAGATTAGGAATAAACATAATGTCCATCCAAAAAGTAAAACTATCCAATGCTGGTCTGTCAGTATGTTCTAGAAATTTCTGTGTTCTTTAATTTTATCATACAGTGCCTAATTAATCACTGCATGTACAGCATACATTCACTAGAAAAAGATTTGGCATAGGTATGTAAAAACAGGATAGCTATTTTCCCTTACACTGGTAGAGGGGATTTGGAAGAAAAGAGGAAAGAAAATAGTTGATTGAAACTACAAGGATCATCTTACAACTGCTATTCTATTTTCTCTGTCCTTCCTCTTCCTTCTGACCATATTCATCTTCCAAGTATTTACTTTTTTCTGGTGTTCTAATGTTACAGTTCAACTTGTCTTTCTGACATTTTTCATTAACAAAAAATGTTGAAGAAATCTCCCGTTCCCTGCTAGTATCAAATTATTTTTAAGAGACAACAGTTTAAACAAAATAAAATTGGTTAAATAAAATAAACCTTACCACACAGTTTTAGTACCAATAAGCCTGTTAAGGAGGAAGCAAAAGAACTCAAACAGAATACATAATTTACATCAGCAATAACTACACATATATTTAATTCTAGCAAGTTAAATTCAACATTATCTTCCCCAGTAAATGTAAATGTTCTCAAAGTCAAAGTACAAACATCTACAATTTCCTGTATTGCCTATACTTCTGTGCTCAGAACACTTTACAAATAAAGGTCCTTAATCATTTCTGCAGAAGCATTAGTTCATCCGCAGTGTCTACATTTCATGGGATATGATGATACTCATACACAAATACAAACTTTTCTGTGCACTAAAGAAGGATTTTCAAATGATCCAAACAAGGAACTGGGAACAGCTCAAGTGTAAACCTTGAGTCAGCGGCAGCACATCTCTTCATCTGCTACGCCCTGAACTCACAGGCAGGGCCCCACAAACTAAACAAGTCACCTTTACAAAGGTCAAATAGTAAACATGGTCTATAGCTGTTAAGAGACAAAAACATGTTCCATCCTAATCTCTTATTATCTAAAAGCAACTCAAAAATTCAAAATTTAGATTTGAGGCAACTGTTCCATCCACAGATACCACAGCGATTACTTTCTACCTTCAGGCCTTTAAAAGGAGAGAAATATAAAGGAAATTGGGTATATGAGAGCAGGTGGGGGGTGAGGGACTGGAAGCTCTTGAAATACAACACACTGGAAGAATTTAAGGTCAATTAGATTAATCTGAAGAGAATTAAAAAATTCTGAAGGTGCTGTTTAGCTTCAGGAACAAAGGGTGCCCCAGGAAGAAATTATATAATCAGCATACTGTATAAATGCAAATTGGAAAAAGTAATTTCTGTTCATTGTATTAATATAAATGATGAGAAACAAGGAGTAGGAGAGTTGAACCGTGCACTATTAGCATACCAAAACATTAGGAGCAACTTCTGTACCAACAAGCTGAACAGATACATTGCCAACAAAAAGCCAGTGAGGTTTCTGAAGATGATGCTAAAACGAAGGAGCTACAAATTATGGGTGAAGTGGGTGAATCCAGGTACTGTTATTTTCTGGGTATTTCTTTTTGATTTTAGCACTTTTGTTCACAGAAGCCTGAAATTTACAGTTTCAGCAAAGAATGTCTCAGAGTTTGGGCAGTGAGGACCGAAAACCAGAAACTTCTGAAAGTCTTTATCATCAAAGATTCATACCTGTGAATGCCCTTAGAGAAGTCCGTGGCAGAATTAACAGACCTAAACCATTTAAAATGTATTAAAAGGCTTGACAATGTAACAGTGTCTTTACAATGCATATTATCACCCAGGAATCTACGGATGTGCCTAGGAGATCTGGAGAAGGATAACTGCAAATTGAAATTGGAATGTGAAGGTGATACAGAAATTTCCAAGTAACACCAAGGAGGTAAAATACACACAGGACAGAGGACAGGCTGGGTTTTGCAAAATCCCAAAAAAGAAAGTTTCAAAGCCCTGTGGACTCAAAGAGCTAGGATGTAATTTATCTTACACATAAGTAATATCTTTTAAGAGAATATTTTTATTGCTAGAGGATCTAAAGACCAGTGTCTGATATTTCTTTTAAAATTAATTGAAGTTAGTATACGACATTAGCCTCACTACATCCCTGCAGTCTTGTATGCAATCAGTACAAGTCCTGATCTATTATGGGTTTGGTCTCTTTCAATACCCTTCTCCTGACTCAGTCAAGCAAATTAGAATGCTTTATGCAAAACAAATAATAAATACCCCCCCTAAGCCTTATCATTAAACAGAAATTACATAAAAAGGAGTATAGTCTGTGTTTTTCCACATATGACCTAAGTTTTTGAGTACAGAGCTGTATCAGAGTTATCTTCATGTATCATAAAGTCATGAATTTAACTTTGTAAACCAACTATTCGACACATTTTACCACTGGAAGTATCTGCTATCCGGTGGTCCTTGCTTTTCCTTGTATGTGTACTGGGTTTTCTCCTATAGAAGATGGCAGTGTAAATTCATATACAACCTCTAATCCATTATAATCTTGTTTATGGAACTGCTCTCTAACCAGTGATTTTCCATGCTGTAGTTATGCAGTTTGTTACTGCTGTGTAAACACCTTCCATTTGATGTTTTTGAATAGCATCTTATTTTTCCAGATGAGACCTACAATTTATCAAGATTACTTTGAATTCTAATCCTGTCCTGCAATGTACTGCAGTCCTTCCTAGCGTGGTATTGTTGCAAATTTACTAAGTATACGCTCTATTCCGTCATTCAGATCATTAATGAAAATACCGAAAAACACTGAGTCACCACAAATCCCTGCAGAACTCCTTTGAATAAATCTTCTCATTTTGATAGTGAGCTACCTCATAAACACAGTTTCTCGTTTCCCACCAGCCTACTGTAGTTGCATGTTTATCATATTTCCCAGCCTGCTTAAAAGCATGTCTTGTGTAAAAGCGTCAAAGCCTTATGAAAAGCAAAATACAACGTTCAAGGCTTTTCCATTGTCCACAAGGCCACTGTAGAAGTAAAAGAGGCTATCTTTTTGACACACGGGTGCTGATGGGTATTCTTCTAGTACTTTCAGGCCCTAAAAATGCAGCGTGTATTTACTTGTTCCAGTATTTTCCCAGGACGGAAACTCTGATGACAGCACATCCCTTTAGCCTATATAACTAACACTATTCTCTCCCTCCTCTTTAAAAACCAAGATTATGTCTACTCTACTCCAGTTCTCCAGTACCTCTACTCGTTCTCCACAAGGCAACAGACACAGACACTAATGGCTTCAAACTATTATCAGTTTAATCATTAAATACCTTGAAATGGAGCCAAGTAGAAACAGCTGACCGCAAAAAACCCCCACTGCCTAACTTACCTGAATATTCTTTAATTGTTTTTTTTTTCCTTCTTTGAGATTGACCTCTTTTTCTGGCAGTTGGGAAAGGTTCTCTTACACTTCTTACCAAAATTGCATTTCATATTCACTCTCAAAGGTTCCCTCTAGCCTGGCATAAGCTATCAGTTTCTCCATCCTGGCTCAAATCCCCTCCAGGAGCAGCTCTCTCCTGGTTGCCTTTTGTACATCTAGTCGCAGAACTTGTCACCAGCACATCCCAGTAGCGAGGTCCATTGACAGTCTGGCTGCAAGAAGCATCAAATCACCTGAAACCTCTATTAGTCATGACTTCAGTACTGCACCTCCAGTTGCCTACTCAAGCTCTCATCCACTGAATCTTACCAGTTGGAGGTCTATGATAATTTTCTGAACAGAGAGGTATTTTTTTCCTCTAATAGTTATCCAGAGGCCTTTAAGGGTCTCTCCTCTTCTACAATTGTGACCTTGCATAAGGCACCCCTTAAATGACAAGGGAACGATTCCTTTCTTGTCTGCTTTTCTTAATAAAGATTCACATTTTTATTTTCTACGGCATATAGTTTTTGCAGGTATGAATTTTCAACACAATTTTGGATTTTTTTTATGGCACTTTTGTGCCCTTCTCTTGCGGCGTAATTGGTCACAACAGCCACACGTGAGTACAATGTGGTCCAGTATGGTCACAACGTACACAGCAGGTGTGGACACAGTGGGTACAGCGTTTATTACAGAGTGTCAGTAAATGCCCCCAAAAATAAATAATCCAGCCTGTGACTGTTCAAATAATTTTAAAAGCAGCTGTTTTTCTGAACAGGTAGACCAAGAGGTAAAGCTACAAATGCACTGGGACCTGAAAGCACTGGTAATGCAGACCCTCAGTGCCGTAAGAAATCCCTGGTAACCGCAGGTTCCCAGCACCCTTGAAAATTCCTACAGATTGGCGTTTCTCCTGTGCCTGTCAGTCAGCACTGTATCAGGTTAGTTTGCAGCTCTGAGGTTTAAGATGTCATTTGTCATCTTCACCGAAAGGTCATTTCCACTGATTTGCTGCATGACTTTTTTTCTGGTTCCACTGAGAATGTATTTCTAATTTAAAAAACCTAATAAACAGTTACATATTTTAGCAGATTATTGATGAGTATTGCCTGGAGGGAGTCACAGGATGAAAACTTTGGCATCCTATTGACTCTAAAATGACAGTCACTGCTACAGAATCTAATTTATGTAAAAAAAATTTGCTGTGGATATTTATTAATACACAACTGCACACAATTGCAAGTTTACAGCACCATTTTATGTTATAAATGTTAAAATAAGTTGCTGAAACTTGAATCGTTTAACGACTGTTGATTGCGTTTGCAGGCACTTCATACAGAATTGAGATGCTCAATTTTCCATAATAATTTCTAGCTCAATCGATATATATGAGCTAAACAAGTTTAATCTTGGTGAAATTTAATTTAGGTATGGACAACATTCAGAGAAAATCATGTGAGGCATGCGTATGTGTCTATGCAGAAATATGTCTTCATATGTCAACTTTAATTTATCATTTCAGAGAATAACTATTCCTCTCCATCTTAAGACCCTTGTGTCATGCTGTTATTATTTGTTGATAGTTCTCTTTATAGTTCACTTTTTTCTTCACCTGTGTCCAGTCATATTCAATACGTACATATCTCCAGTTTAACAAAAATGTTTCGTGTTCTAATCGTCTCATAAATATCAAAGAGAAACTATTTAACACAAAAAATGAGGAAATATATCTAACCTCACAGAGAAACAAACATCATGAAACCAACTTCCTGAGTCAGTCAATTTAAATGAAATAGATATGTTCATAATAGTGCCTAAGTGTAGAATCGTATTAGTATTTATCACTGAAATTATCAAATCAGAAGTGTGTGGAGGTAGAAATGATAACAACAAGGATTTTAAGAAAACTAGTACTAAAATCAGATGCCCTTGTATATGATGTTTCATTACAATATCTGACGTCATTCTCTGCCAGCTTGAAATATACTCAGGAAAAAAATGACACAGAAAAGAAAATCCTTCACCAGCCTGCGTTCAGAAAACATTGCTACTAGCAGTAGCAATGCAAGATACATCTGATATAAAGCTTTTCTGTGAGTCTCAGTTGTCTTCAATATTTATACATATTTTACAGGAATTTGTTTTTACTGATTTGCTCCTCTCTCTTTCCACCGCCTAGGGCTGTCATACTCCTTGCCTTTTCTGGCCAAATCATACATACCGCTTTTGCTTCCCATCCCAAGACATATTTGCAATTATAAAATATTAAAGAAACTTAATATATGATAGTCTTAAAACTTATAATGAAAGTTATAAATACAGAATACAGAAATAGAAGAACAAATTCTCACATACACAGAAATTGAGATGAACTCCCTTTACTTCAGTGAGCTACTGAAGGCTTAGGTGTTAGAATAAATTAAAATTGAAACCATTCTTATAAATAAGCAAACCCAAATCAAAGAGGGCATTTCAGAAAATTATATTTCATATAAGATACTTTCAGTATAAATATATGGCATATTTTTAAACCAAATCTATCATCAGGACAGTTGGAAGTAAAATCTAATGTTTTGTAAATAAATTCTTTATCTGTACCAAAATACTAATTTTTCGTCTCCTTAACTCAGTTCCAGAAACAGAAATCTTCTACTCTTAAAAGACTTCACTCAAGTTCCTAAAAGACTTCACACCAAAGCCAAGTTCTTAAAATCAATTTAAAACACTACTTATTTTGGCCAGCCTAATTTTTCCACAACTGTCACTATTAGCAATTATTCCATTTTCCCTCAGAGGACGTTAAATGCAATGAAAAATGATCAGTGCCGGTTATGCTGCAAGTTTTTAGAAATTTAGTGGTTGAAAAAGTTCCTTCTAACAACTTCTGCATAAAACAAATTTGAAAATTTCCTATTTGGGGAGAATATTATCTCCCCCCCCCCCCCCCCTTTTTTTACCGCCACCCTACTATTTCTCTCCCACCCAGAAACACATTTCTTTAGGGGAAAAAAAAAAAAATTATGCTTTAAAATCTTCACCCAGCTCTAATACAAACCCATTTCCCAGGTTACTTCTGACTGACGCAAGAGCATCGTCTCCCATCCTTAGCAGTTGTGGCAATGGCACCGCACGCAATAACACAGAATGTTCAGTGAACCTGAAATCAGAGAGGGCCCTGTGCACACCGTTTGGGCAGGAAAAACAATTCCTCTCTTCTTCCCAGCAAATATAAGTTTTCTGTACCCCTTTCCATCTATTACTGAGGACAGTCGGTCCTATAATGTTTCTTACACTGGAATTGTGAGTGTTACGCTTCCCCTCCGTTCTTTTTCATTCACTAATCCCTTTCATTTTCTACAAAACAATGGTGGTGTAGACAAAATCTTTCACCCTCAAACCCTGTTTTAAATGTCCTGAAATGCTATCACAGAACAACTGTTTGCATGCCACTACAAAAAGAACACTGTCCTCAATCTCAGCTTCTAAAGAGTAAAAGGAACATAAACAGTAGGAATGCCTAAAATTGAACTAAACCTATTATCTCTTCCTGGAGAAACTGAAAATACGTTGCATTAGCATAACTTGAAAAAGCTTTACCGAGGCTTCATCATTCTTCTGTAATATGTAAACAAATTGGTTGCATATTTTTTTAAACCCACACCAAGTCTAGAGGAAGAAAGCCTAATTCTAGTAGGAAAAACCTGTAAAATATTTACAGGAAGGAAGGAAAGAGAGGAGAAGCAATAGATCCTTTTTAAAAATACACACAATGGCAAACTTAGCGCTACACTGACTTTCTCATGTATACATACTTGCATAAGGGTAAAACTCTTTAGAATTTCAGGTTTTAAAAAAGCTCATTAAATTAAAAAAAAAAAATAAAAATGCCCAAAACAGCACCTGTTTTACCCTCCTGCACCAATCAAGTTATTTCTCAGAGAGAAAGAGCTTGTGAATGTCTTCTAGGCATTATTTGATTAAGTTGACAATATTATGTGAGCAATGGTTGAGTACCCACTGTGCCGTACTTTTGACCAAATTGATTTGTGTAATGAACACTTGCTCTGTCTCTTCTCTCGCCTGAACAGGGCTCTTGATTTAACCAGTGGTGCTGGAAGCCAAGTGAATTTACAGCCCCCACAGTCATTCTCTCTCAATCTGGAGAGAATAGCAGCAGCAGTACATGAGCAAGCATAATTCAATACATTGTGCTATAAGCGCAGAAAATAATATCAGAGAGCTCTGCAATATACCTGTTTGATTTGATTTGTAAACCTGATAAAAAAGCAATCGAGAAAAGTTCAGCAGAAAAAATAAATATGCGTCCCGAGCAAAAAGGTAACCATACTGAATGTGTACAAAGACCTGAAAAAATCATGCATAGTGAATCAACTTCATACTTTCCTTAGATAATACTACATATTTTCCATTTAAAAAGGGTCTGGATTCTGGAAAGTTACCTTTCCATTAAAAAGTGAGCAAAGAGAATAATTTAAAACTGAGTTTGGGACTTCCTGAAAATACTGTTTCCCAAATATACTACAAAGAGTGTACTGACAAATGCAACGGGCTTCTCTCTTTCCTGTGTTCTTAAGCAGATTGACTGATTAATCAATCATACTGGCTTTGATAAATTTATATTCTGAGAAGTCCGAGCCCTGCAATGTTCTTCCCAGAAGCATAACAACATAGAGGAAAAGGAGTTATCTATGCAGATACATCTGTTTGTACTTAAATGTTTACACAAAGGTGTACACACGAAAAAAATTCTATCACCGTGCTTTTTTACAACTGTGATAAACATTACCAGAAGTACCAGTGACTTTTCTTGTCAACTGCATCTCTATTATCTTTTTCTCATGAGTGAAGATCAATAGTAAAGTCTCATTGCTTTCAGGATATTGCAAGGTGAGATTATTTTTTCAAATTAGTTCTAAAGACAAAAATATTTTACGTATCTCATACTGCAATGCATGTAGCTCATACCACATCAATTTATTCCCTTCAGAATCCATTTCTGAAGACAACGTGCACTGTTCTTTGTGCTGATCTAGTCCAAAGTGCACATAGATGTGGAACTTGCTATTATGCACGAAGAAATGTAATAGTATAATCATGACTGCATTTGATAACGCTGCTAAATTCCCAGTGTAACGGTGAATACCTCATACCCTAGGAATGCTTGGTTTCAGAGATACTGAGACAGAAACCCTGCAGGGGAAACCCTGATCCTCCTGTTTTCAGTGGTAAAATTCCCTTTTATTTCAGCTGGGTCAGAACTTCACCCACTTGGCAAAATAATTTCATCATTCCCATTAATTTCACTCAATTGCCCAGATTACAAAAGGTATAAATTTTACTACCCAAAGCACCAACTGAAAACTAACCAAAGCAATCACTTTCTCACCATACCCTATGACAGCTCTGGAAAGAAAGATACAGTCCCTGTTTTGCCAGGCCATCTTGTCCCATCTCTAAAGCACTGAGCTCACGCTGGCTACTCTCCAGCCTATTGGTGCGTAACAGCAGCCCTCCCTTCTGTTTCACTACTGGGAAAAGTACGTTAGATGTTCGTTTGTCCCTATTCTTATTAATAATATACATCTTTCCAAGTTGAGACAAAATGTGACACACACTTAGCTCGCAAGCTATACGGCATTTTGGTGATCCAAGTGATGAAGCTGGACAGACTTAGCAAGCCCAATTGTTTTGTATGGGCAGAACAGATTTATTCATAAGATTGTGCTTCACAAGAAAGCAATTGCTTCGTGTGGAATAGCACTTAGAAACAAAGGCAAGAAAAAGTGCCTGCTCTTCTGTATGAGCTAGTCCAAAATTCTAACAATCTAATGAAAGTATTTGCCTTAAATAAATTTTGTATCAGACAAGGAAGTTTACTCTTCTCCTGGACACAGGGGACCAGAATAGCCCCTACACAAGTTCTGCATGTCTCAACATTACCTTCAATACAAGCGCGTGTGGTCGGAGCAGTATTGGAGTCTGACAACAAAGCTTCATCGAGGCAGCAAGAAAGATGACCAACAATGCGCCCATATGGCAACTCACCCAATCGCTGATAGCAAACACTGATCACAAATGATGCCACGGCTCCGGTGGGCTGCCAGGGACACTCGGTGTCCAGGTCATCTGGCAGCAGCAGCCAATCATGCAAATGGCTTTTGAACGTGGGCAGGAGCCGTGCCACCCCTCGACTCCAGCAGGAGCGGTGTGACTTGAGAATCGGTGTGACTTGAGAATCGTACCTTGCCTGAATAACACGGGGGGCATCCTGCCTGCACTGCTGATGTCGGTCAGAGGCAGGGTGCCGGCAGTCTCTCTGCACTGCTGACATCGGGCAAGGGGCAGGGTGTCAGGAGGCAGGGTGTCAGCGCACCTCTTCCACTTAAGAGACAAATGCCACCCCTCTGGAATATTTTATGTTAAAGGTCCTTGATCAGTTGGATGAATACAGTTTACTGCTAGGAAGACCATGTAAGGTGGTTAACTCTGACTGGGACATTTGTTTTAGATATACCGCAACACACAAGCATCCCCCGGTGGAACCCCTTAATCCAATTTACAGGCACATGAAAAAGAACCTGAATAATTTTGTGCTTTGCTCGTAGTTTCTGCTATTGGACATGCTCTGGGGCTTCAACATACTAGGTATTGTTCCAGGTTGAGGACTTTAAAGCAGTACTGATTATTTCTTTCATTTTTAGATGGATGCATTCAGGATGCTGATACCACAGGCTACAAGAAAGTACTGCTATTACTGTGATAGCTTATGCATAGAAAGCTAGCAGCCTAAATAAGAGATCATTAATTTTGAGGACAGATAGGAGCAATAAGATAGGTTTCTTAAGCTTCTGGTACTGCAGGGCAAGCAAAGAGTTATTAATTACTTGGCTACATTAATTATTTCCCCAATCTATCTTCCTTAACAATATGGAATACAGCCCTTACCTAGTGCTTTACGTTGCCATTGCTGGCTCATCATTTTTCTTCTAAAACAGTCAGCAGGATATCAGGGGATAGCATATCAATCATGTTTGGAGTGGAATCACCAGAAACTATAAATGTTTTGGATTCTAAATGTGTCTCAAAACTTAGGCAAAATTTGCTGGTATAAAAAACAGATATGACTTTAAAAGGACTATTCACGATAGGTTTTGACAGAGTTTTGAGTAACTAAGCAGTTGCCAAGTTCAGTTAAGGACGTCCAATTGACATCAGCATATCAATAACTTGCAATGGCAGAAGGAATTATAGTAGCTTGCCTTAATGTATTATTTATTGTTTGCATCGATTCAATAACTATTTCTGACCGCCTACTGATCCCATCCATGAATATCACAACAACAACAATTAACAAAACCGTTCTCTAATCAGCTGCATTCTGGCTCCATTAGCCAAGAAGGAAATGCACACGTTCTATGCACACTTTTAGAAGTTCATTCTACAGCTACAAAACTAATTTATTGTGATATTTTCACAGGATAATTTAAAAATAAATTCCTTGGGTTCATCCTTAAAAAAAAAATTAAAAAATAAAGTGGACACACTAGGAAACTTTTTACTGGTCAAAGGATAAAAGCATTAATTTAACCCAAATGAAATATCTTAAGCAGTGATACACAGACACAAAGAAATATTCAATTAATTTTGTCATTCCTCTTTCATCTGTTAGTCAGAAGACTACTATTTCTGATGTAATTCTTGTTGCTCTTTCAAAGGACTTCAATAGGAGGAATGAAGTGTTTAAAAATAACTGTTTCAATACTTGGAAGACTCATGTAAAATCAAGACAGGCAACAAATGAAAACATACTAAAAAAAAATACCATGAAAATAAATATAGAAATCTTGATTAGAGTTGATTAAAGGTTTTTTTATAATTTGAATGGGAGCTCTAGCTTCACGCTGTACAAGCTTGTTTGATAAATCCATCAAAGTATTGCAAGAACAAAAAGCTATCAGTATCCTCAGCATTAAAAAATTACTTGCTCACGTCATTTTTGCCCACCAATTACTCAACACATTTACATACTAAATTAATCTCTGTTATTTCTCTCATGATGGAGCTTGTTTCCTCTTATGTGCCTAAAAAGAAACATAATGCCAAGGGTGTGGTTTCACCATCAGCTAAAGCCTCAACGACACACCTGACAAGTCCTGCCTTTCGTACCACCTTGGGACTCAGTTTCTTTCCACCCCACCTTGTGTTTACGCCAACACTTCTATAGATGAGTGGTGGTTCAGACCCATTGATCGAACTGGAAACGCGCACTTCATCAAATGAGTTTGTGAGCTGATCTAATTCACAACTGAAGACAGGGACATAAGTATGTAGATAATGTTGGCCAAGAGAAAGCTGGAGGACAGGCCTATTCCTTTCCATGGCAGCACAGTCTTAGGTCATGTTAAGCCAGTTTGGAAACTGCCACTCACCCTGACGACAGAGGAGGACTTCAGGGATTATGGAGTTAAACAGATAAATTATATAAACCAGGAGGTGAAATGCTTCCAACTATTAATGGGGAATGGATACAATATGTTCTAAAGATCCAAAAATACAACTCTGCCATCTAAAAATGTGTACCAGCGAGTAACTAAGTTTAAGTGAAGAGAGGTAAAATAGATGAAGAAATATAGAAATGTTTTGTAAAGCATTTTACAGGTAAATATGCCTAATAGTTCTAAAAAAATCTAAACCACCTTCTTCTAAGCTACACTTTGAAAGGCAGTCACATACTGGCAATAAATCAGGACACGACG